AGGGAAGGAATGGCTTGTGTTAGCACTGTTAATGTTAGTCACTAATCCAAAAGCACCACACATTTCAGCAGTTTGTTAGTTCTTTGTTTGTAGGAACCTCCCTGATCAGAACACGGCCGCTGCTGGTTAACTCGAACAGTAGCAGGTACAGTTATTTTATATTCTTCATGTTGTAGTAAAATATACAAGAAATGATGTGGTCGTAAGAAGCACGGGTATAATGTCCCGGCTCCATCATATGCAAGTTTAAGCTAGCAACACATGTACAGCACAGACCACACGATACCACTTTACAGCAACATTAACTCATGTGAGCAGGTAGGCGGACGATGAGAATTGTCAGCAGTCTGGAGATATTTTAAGACAACAAAAGTAAAGGAGCCTGCCAGCTTGGCTCTGCTACATCGTCAGAGGAGGAGGACTGAGAAAAAGTTCATTTGTCTCATGTAAAATATCTAAAGTCCTAACCAAACGCAAACTGCAATGAGTCTGCTAATGTGTGTGGAAGCAAATGGCAACAACCGACACTGGAGACATCACGGGAAATGTCCAGAGACAGACAACCAGCAGGAGAAACCAAAAGAAACTGCAGCTCTTTGCCTTTACAGGATTAGAGCATAAATTTAAGCCTAAACTCGAATCAGCAGATAAAAGCAGGTTTTTCTTTGTTTACATTTGAAAGGCATCTTTTGTAATTAAGTAATAAACTACGATATTCATAAATTACATGGAATCCAACACATGAATTTAAGACAGAAGTGAAGCTATGTGAATGCAATTAAAGAAACTGTCCCAGAGACAAACTGAGTTTGTGGGTTTCCAAATGTAATCAGCACCTCTGACGTCCCAGAAGTTTTCATTCAAGCTGATATTACGCAGGAAGGCAAATCCACTCTTCCACCTCTGCCCCACCCCTCTAACATCCAGGCTGAGGCCTACCTTGCTATACCAGTTAAGGCAGGGCTGCACCACATCTGGGTCTTCAATTCCATGCAGCTCAATGTACCAGATGCTGAAGTTGAAACTCGGACCCCAAGACATCAGAGGCACTGAAGTTAAACAAGTGGTAAGAAGTGTTAACAGCAACAAACACATGACAACACAAAGCGTGCCAAACTGCTCTCACCTATTTTGACAAATCTGCAGGGGAACATCTGCTCGTCGATCTTGTGCTTTAAGGTGAACGTTTCCTTGTTGTAGTCATTCTTAAGGCCACTGGCAGATGGAGAAAGACAATCAACATGACACAGCTGTTTCACAAATCCTACTGGTGAGTTGAGATACCGACTGAATCCATTTGCTGGACAGCCCTCCAGCTCTGGCAGCTAACTAGACTTCATGTGTGGCCTTGCAGCTGCAGTTCAGGCTGTTAACAAACATGCAGCCTGCTAATGCAGCTCTTCAGCTGGATGGACTCATTTGCCAGTTGCAGGTTCTCCAGAAACAATTTGCAACAATTGAAGTTGCACATTTACAACTACTTACAATCCTCTGTTCTTTGAATTTGTATTTATTGAAGTTCAAATTCAACACAACACCTGAGGCAATTTATTACTTAAGACAATTAGAAAAAAAAAATCTGTTCAACCAGTGAATTTCTGTCAACTAGAAGTCGTCTCGACAGCCACAATTGAGAGCACTTCTGGTGGCACTGTCATTCTCCTGGTATTGTGTCTACCAATAAAGACACTACAGGACCAGACAAACACAGAAACATGTCTCCCTGAAGCTACAGGGGCATCTCACCTGGACAAAAGCTCGGTCATGTTTTCTTCGCTCATCCCACCAAACACTTTGAACTTCTTCAAGTTGCACACATGAGTCTTCTCATATTTCCCAAAGGTGATGCTCTGAACAATTGCTGGCCTTTCCAATTTTAAGATTAAAAACTGTGGAAAGAGATCAAGACAGGTGAAACAGACTGAAAGCACAGAACAGAGTTATGACGTATTTAGTGCTTGTAGAGAGCTCCAGGAAATTTGCCTGCAATTATGCCTGCCCCGTCGCTGTGAAGGGATTCTCTCCTTATCTAAACGACTACAGCATCAGGCAAGTGGCAGCACACACTATGAACTGCATCCACATGTCACTGGTGCTCTAACAAGCCAAGACATCAAATGACAATCCACCCATGGCCACAGGCCACAGCACCGATTAAACAGGAAATGTGAAAACATTTAAATCCACAGAGACCAACATGTTCACATCCGCTGTGAAAGCATCAATATCAATCTGAAATGAAGCATTAATGAATCACACAAACTCCCCACCTTTACGGTAAATAAAAAAGTAGCAACACTGAGTTGACTTTCCATTTTGTGTTTGTAATGAGACAACGTGTGATGAAACAATGGGCTCCTCCCATCACCCTCCCGTGACGACTCACATCCAAGGTTATAATTTACTCACCAGTAATTTGGCACACAGTTTTTTAATTAGTCGATGGAGGTGGGGGTACACTACTGATTTGAACGTCATGTTTTGGACAATGACACCAGTTTGAATTTAACCCTTTAAGACCTGCCATAGAACCAAGTCCACCAGAGCTTATATTATATTTTTACATGCTGTGGGGCCATTTTTGGGAGCATTTCAAGTTGCAACCATTACAGCCCAAATTTTAATAATATGTCTGCATTAAGTACATAGTAATTACATAAATTGCGAAAAACTACAAAAACTTATCCCTCAAAACTGTAAATACAAAAAAGTTAAAAGTTGCACAAAATAGTTTCCCACCACAGGAAATTTATTTTAAGAGTCTTCATAGTTTTATTTTTGAAATACACCAATTTTTATATACTGCAGGAAAAACGAAAATAAATATTATAATGCAAATTTGCAAAAAAAAAATAAAAAATAAAAAAAAATCCACAAAATGACATCACTTCCGGTTTCGGGCAGGTCATGGTGGACATGCGATAGTTCACGCTGATGGACGTAGGAAGTGTTACGAACAGCTGATCGGATCGGCAAAACCCGTTTCTGGAATATTATGTTTTTGTTGCTGCAAGTGCTTTTTATGCAGTTTTTGCAAAGCTATATGTGAAAGGAAACTGTGACCGAGGACAAGCTGATGGCATCAGATGTAAGTACAACTCCTCCAGTTTCATATGCAAAAAAAATTATTGCGCTAGCTTACGTGGTTGCAGTGCTACAGGGATTTAAAAATAGTCACGCAAAACTGAGCGTGCTGCTCTGACCGGCTTTAAAGGGTTAAAAACGTATCCCAACGCTGAAGGTTTCCCTGTGGACGGTGAGCTACACGACCTGCTGCTGTCAGTGTGGATTCGTGTGAAAATGCTTCCACTCTGGGATTCGATCATATGGTTTTCAGAAGCAGCACAAATGAACAATGTTAGTGTTGTTTTCTTTATGAACAGATCCCATCGGCAAGGATGCAATCTCCCAGGGGGAGGACAGAATGCCCCCCAAGCCCCAAAACTGTTTAGTTTATGCTCCATGTCTTATAAAAAATGGAAAGAAATGTTCTGCATCATTTCTCATGGGGAACTGTTACTTTAAATTGACAAATCAATTGTTTAACCAGCAGTTTTCTACCATCCAAACACCGCCTACTCCTACTCTAAATTACAGGCAGATTCCTGCAGTTTTCCTTCATTTAAAGCATAAAGGACATACCTGAGCTGCAGGATTATTAGAATTTGTGAAGCCTGCGTAACACCCAGCTGCTGTACTAGAAACAGAGTATTTTGAGTCTGGGGTGCTCAGTCCTCCAAGTGAGTGGTTAACCATTGTTTTGCAATGTTTCACTTCCTCTTGTCAGTCAATGCAAACTTTCAGAATTAACCTCAAAGTCGTGCAACATTATCTATGACGGTGTTGTCAAAGGGAGTCAATGAGTTCAAGAGAGAGGAAGGCAAACTTTTTCTTTCAGAAGTGTGAACGTAAACAGTTGCTGTTGCTGCTCACTGCTAGGTGGAACCTCCTCATACAGCTGCAAGATAAAGTTAGTGAACTCTTTGGAATTGAAGCCTTAAAAACGAAGCCTCCTGCAGTCGTGCTGCTGTTCGAGGACCCGTCACAAACCTGGATAAATGGGAAGGTTGTATTTGGTGTGAAATGGGGATCCGTGCACTGTGGTAACCCCCTGGGAAATAAGAGAGTAGCTAAGAGTAGCTTATCTACATCGCCTGTGTAGGCTCTCAGTCATCCAGGCCATAGTTAAAATTAGGGCTGTTCGATTTAAGGAACGACATATATCTAAAGACGATATGAAAACGTCTGTCGTTTCATATTAAGCTATCATTTGTTTTTTTCATGGTTTTGATGGTCACCGTAGTGGCTACATTCATTCCTTAAAGTTCTCTAACCTTACTCCTAA